GCAGACACACTGACCCCATTTCAGCACTGAACCACCCCAGAAGTGGGGAGGCCTGGCATGGTAAAGTGAAGCAGTGTAACCTTTACCAAGGAAGAGCTTTAGGTCAGCCAGCAGGTAGATATTTGGTCTGCTCACTGTTTAATAACTGACTGTTCGGGTTTGTTTTGTGTAGAATCGTGTTGTTGAGTGGGCAAGAGAGAGCTCAGTTGGCAGCTCCTGTCCTAAAGGGCCAGAGGACTGCAGGCTTTACAGGTGCTTTTCCAGTTAACCACTGATTAAGCTTTAAGTAATTAAGATCAGCAGTGGGATGAAAACCACACCTTGTCCATCCCTGCTTTACATGGACAGACAGCAGGCTGTAACAAGCTGGAGGTGCGTTTGTGCCTCAGGGAAGGTCCCTTTCAGAGTTACCTTGCACCCCCTCCCCACACAGACCCTGAAGGTCACTGAGCTCCAAGCTCGTTTTTCTGCAGGAAGAAAGTAACTTTCCAGAGAACCAGACACACTGACAATTGTAATCCCTTCCTCCCTCCCTTTACTCTGGTGTAATACAAGCTCATCATGGAAACTGCACCAGTCAAGAGGCATGGGTAGAACCTTGAACTGTAAATCCCCACTCATCTTCTGCAACAGTCAGAGACAGAACAGAGAGGCAAACAATTTAGACTCAAGAGCTGAGACAGATTAAATGGCATTGTGCTACCCTATACAAAAAAACAGGTATTTATTCGGCCATAAATTTGGTCAAATTCTGTCCCAAGACAGAAAAAGGGCAATCTAGCTCCCAGCAGTCATACATTATTCAACAGTCATGTGGGGATTTGGGTTTGATGCAAAAAAAGTTTAATCTCATTTAACTCTGGTCTAATGAGAACTCAGAGGGAACTGTGTGAAACACCTTCAGTATTAGACAAAGGTCCTGATCCCATAACGAAGGTACAGACTTAAGATCCTGCGGTCTTAACAAAGGTACAGACTGCAGTATTAAATACAGATCCTGTGGTCTTAACGAGGGTACAGACTGCAGTTTAAATACAGATCCTGTGGTCTTAACGAGGGTACA